CCCTATAACCAATTGGTTTTAGGAAGCATTTGGCACCTCTTTAACTTCAGAACTCTGTGGTTAAGCGTGTTGGAACGGGAGTAGTCCCAGGATGGGTGACCCACTGGGAAATTCTGATTTATTATCTTGGTTTACTTTTATTGGTCTTCATTCTATTTTTAGGATTTGTAATTGCATTGCTCATAATCTTGCTAGGTATGCTACGGCTTAGAGTGTCTCTTGGGATCGCCCACCACCTGGTTGTATTGCACATTCAATTTCTTCGGGATGAATTATTTTTCCTGTAAAAAAATCCTTTCACCCTCCAAATCAGTCTTTCCCAATCAGACGGATTCTTCTTTCCTCATGCTCTCTTTTTTTCTTCTTTTCAATATTTTTTCACTTTGTCATAAAAAAATAATAAACATAAAATAAACATAAAATAAACAAAAATAAAAAAAAATGGAATAAAAATAATAATAATATATAGAAAAACCCAAAAATAAAAAATAATAGAAAGGTAATGTGAAAATAAAATAAATTTTTATAAAACAATAAATACTCTCTAGAGATTAATAATAACAAAAAAGTATAATAATAAATAAATAATAGAAAATAAACAAGAAATTTTATATACAATAAATTAAAAAACTAAAATAAAACTAAAAACAATAAAATAATAAAATAAAACCTAATAATAAACATTAGAATAAATAAAAAAAAATCGTTATAAAATAACAAAAAAATTAATAATAAAAAAAGTTATTATAAATAGTAAATAAATAATACAAATCAAAGTAATAAATAGTAATTAAAATAATAATAAAAATAAAAAAAATTAAATATATAATTAAATTAAAAACAATAAAAAAATAAAAATAGATATAATATAAATACAAATTTATACTCCGTAATAAAAATAAAAAACAAAATTATTAAATTAAATTTAAAAATTAAAATAAAATACTTGCAATAATTTAAAAAAATAGATAAAAAATAAAATTTTAAAGTGAAAATTAAAAATAGAAAACAAATATGAAAACAAAACTTTTTCTTCTACTCCCAACTGAATAAGTTGAAGGGAATCTTTATCATCCCTTCCCATGAACCTATTCTTTCCCATCCTCTCCTTTCCAACCAAACAGACTCTTAATCAAGGAAATATGGGTTAAGGTTGGGGTCGGGGTTGGGAATTAGATGCAAGAACTATTAATTTAGCAATTAAGCAATGTATCAATTCGATTCGGTTTTGGTTCAAATCTTTTGGGTTCGGGGGCTCTTTTTGATATATGTTATACTCGGTTCGGATCAGTTCGAGTCAGTTTGGTTTCAGGTTAATTTCGGTTTGGATTTATATTGGTTTGGGTTTATATCAGTTCAGGTTTATATCGGTTTGGATTTATACCAGTTTCAGATGATATCCCTTGGTATTAGAGTTTCTAATGTTAGCCTTGTGTGTAGCCTCTCATCCTTATGTGTAAAGAGAGTATATATACAAGTGTCACCAATAATGAGCTATTTTATCGATTAATGTGTGTTACGATGTCACAATAAATTTTATAAGCTCTCCATAAAAATACGAAATAATCTTAGTTTAAGTGATAAAATACAGAGTAAAAAATTTATACATTGAACTATTTGTACCTACAACTCAAAAATGTTTTTTAGAAAGACATCAACCAATGAGCTATTACGTTTGTCTAGATTTGATTTGTTTGAACTTGATCAATATCGGGTCTAATCGGTTTCGGGTCTAATTAGTTTCGGATCTAATCGGTTTTGGGTTTAATCGGTTTGTAACTTGTTCGGGTTCAAAGATCTAGATCTGAATCGGGTTTGAATACATTTGGTTCCGGTTTGATTCGGATCTGATGTTTTAAATTCCACCGAGTATGAAAAGTAGGTAACTGGGTCGGGCAAGGCAGACCTAACCAAGTAAATAAAGATAAGCGTAATAGTAATGAACACAACAAAGAACTACTTAGACCGGGGTAAATCTCCCGAGTCTGAATATACTTTCTTACTCTTTTTCTAGAGTGTACATGGTTTTATGGAAGTAGTAGTGAATGCCTTCTCCTCTCTCTATGACAGATTATTTATAGAGTAGAGGAGTCTCAGTAGGTGCATGGAAGCTGCCCACTTAAGGACAAACAATCAGACATCATCCATCACCACGCAATCAGAATATATTGATTGAATACAAATCTAGGATGGTGCCAAAGGACTTTTCCACATTGATCTCTTGAGTGACGGGTGTGGGTCCCTCCATTGATCTCCTAGATACTAGGGTTTGGGGGAGGCGAATTCGTCCGACCGTGATTCATAGATCGTAACTCAAAAGTGAGACCGGTCAAGTTATACGGAGCCCGATGCTTCATTCCTCAAGAGTCCAATATAGTGACCGGTCTCCCAATCCGGGAGTGACCGGTCATCCACGACTCTTCTAAAATAGCTTCCAAGGTTCATCTTCGAAAACTGAAATTGTGACCGGTCACCTATCTTCCGGGGGTGACCGGTCACCCAATGTCACACCGAAAAGTGTCTAACGACCATTCTTGAAGACCAAGACCGTGAACGGTCACCCTAATCCGGGAGGTGACCAGTCACCAAATGCCGCGCCCAAATGTCTCCACCGGCCCATCCTTGAAGACCAAAAAACGTGACCAGTCACCTTAATCCGGGGGTGACCGGTCACCTACCGGCGTGACCCAAAATGCCTATCTTGCCGAGGGTGAAAAGGTAGAACCATGACCGGTCACCTTAATCTGGGGGTGACCGGTCCCCTAGCACCGTACTCCAAAGTAGCCGCCTAGCCGAGTCCGGAGAGAAGACCCGTGACCGGTCACCTTAATTTGCGGGTGACCGGTCACCTCGGTACCCATGAGGCCATGAGTACACCTGAGTATGTAATATACCCATTAGGATCATTTCAGGTGTTCGGGTTTAATTCGATTCTCTAGTTTTCGAGTCATTTCGGATTTGTTGAAACACGGGCTTGTCACGTTTTTGTACTAAAGCCGTGTTCGTTTTAATGACAGGTTTTCATAATGTCAAACTGTCGTGATCAAGACACAAATTGAATACACAAGGAGAAGAACGAAGATAAGGACAAGAGTTAAACGAAGACCAAGAACGAAGACCATAGTCTTAGTATCGTTGAGTCCGTCTTTATTGTGATCAAGACCGACCCAATCTTTACACCTTGGCTCTTTAGGCTAAAATCTTTCATTGCATTTCTTACATCATAAAAATGTTTTTCAAACTTGTTTAAGTCATTAAAAACACTTGGTGCTCACCCAAACCAAAAACCAAGCCATCTAGTGTTCGGCTTTCAGAAACCAGCATTCGGTTTTTGGCATCCGAACCAACCAAGTGGTTTTCAGCATTTTATGATTGGTTTTCACTCTTTGGAATGTTTAAACGGTTCTCCAACAAAAACACTTTGAAAACCATCTTTTGCTTTTGGTCGTTTGACAAAAACCACGCAAAACAGTGTAAACTTGGCTAGCCGTGGTTTTTACTCAAATGACGTGGCTTTTAAAGTAACTCACTTGATTTCTTAGCCAAATACATCAAATAAGTGTTTCAAACACTTGGTTTTTATTTTGGAGAACTTTGGATTTTTCGGTCGGTTTTTGCATCGGTTGGCTAGGCCGTGGTTAAGGCAAAGACCATGGGTTTTTGGCTAACCACCCACCCAACGATGGGAAGATCTTCCCATCGATGGGTAAGGGGTCCCTAAGCCAAACCAACTTCCAGAACCATGCCAAACAGCGATGGGAAGTTCTACCCATCGCTGTTAAAGCCTTGGTCCAACATCAACACACGACAGAATGACCTTACCCAGCGATGGGAACTTTACCCCATCGATGGGAAGGCATGACCGTTGGAAGTCATTTAAGGTTGATTCTTTCCTTGTTTGGAAGTCAACCTCCCACCCAGCGATGGGAAGCTTGTACCCATCGATGGGTAGGTAAACGTTGGCTTCAAAACTAAAGGAAAAATTGGCTTACCAGCGATGGGTAAGTTCCAAACATCGATGGGAAGCCAATATCCTGCAGATCCCAAATTTATTCAATCTCATAAATCAAGCCAATCATCCCTTTAATGCATTGGTCCGTTGGAGCCTATTTTGGCACTATAAAAAGGGGTGTTTGGGTCTGCTTTTCTCATCAATTCACTTCACAATATTGATATTATCATTGCATCCAAACCACATTATTTTTCATAGCTTTCTAGAGCCAACTTGTGTGAAGTTTGAGTTGTTCTTGAGCGTATATATTTTACTCAATATCCACTCTTAAGGAGAGTCTTGTTCTTGAGTGTCTTAGTGTTGTATACACATTAAGGGAAGCTTGTTTCCCTTGGTCGTACGAAGAAAAGCTATTTTCCTTCGGGTTGAAGTCTTGGAGTGCGGTATCTCCGAGCAAGTGTATTGAGGCTCGTGGGACTCGAGTTCTCAGGTTGTAACGGTTTGTTAAGCACCAGTAAGCTTAACGGAAGTAGTGTAGCTCGAGAGAGTCTCTCGGGAGGCTGGATTAGCCACAATTTGTGGTGAACCAGGGTAAATCTTGGTGTGCTCCCTTTACGCTTTCTACGCTCTTTATCTTTCACGTTCTTAATTTTTTTATTCCTGCGATTTCCAGATTATTCAATTTGGGTTATCGGGTGCAGGTCAGTTTTGCCAGGTCTAAACGTAAATGCTTCGAATCACTTTGATATTAAATTATCAATGTCAAAAGATCTATGTTGTAAAAATAAGGAGCCGATATATATCATAAGAGCAATACTAGGGGTATATCTCATTTGTACAACAAACTTTTACAGATACACAAATACGCAATGTCTGTGCACAGAAATTACATGACTGTGTGTGTCTATGAAATTTGGTGTAGAAATAGGATATCACATTTGGTGTATCCCTAGCTTAATTGGGTAGTGCCCAAATTGAAATTGAGGTTGATGTAACATTTGGCATTTAAATTATTTTGGCGTTTAAAAACTCGGCGTTTTCTCCAATACCGATCGGTCCTGGGAAGGATGGTTCATCGTTTTTGTGTGTTCTTCTGGAGTAGCCTGGGTGTGTACTACCTCCTACCTAAAACGGCAATTTGCATCTTTTCTCGCAAAAGCATTGTGGACAAAGAAATGCCATTTCCAGACGGAGTATTTATTTCCTCTATTGATGTTTGTACGATTCCATCTTGTCCTAGCCCGAATACAGCCCAATTTTTGAATTGGCGGAGCTCCTACATTGGCTACTCCTAAAATGGAGCCTTTGATCAACAAGGAAACGTGTCTGTGAAGAACATTTTCAGCAGCGCCCGAGTCTCTCTCATGACCAAACCACGCCCCTATGTTTCTCCCTCTACGGTCAGTGTGGTTCGGATGTGTATGTTTGTCTAAAATTCCGGGTTTTTTTTTGTGTTCATTTCATTTTTCTTAAGTTTGCTGCCAGAGATGCAAATACAGAATAATTGCAGACACCTGATACACTTTTGCTGCATTTTTGATTTTTTAGATCCAAAACTTGTGCTCATTTTGATGTTTTAGGGCTTTGTGAGGGCTTTTTGGGGCTCGATTGGAAATGCACGGAACTAGTTTTGTTTTCTGTGTGTATACTTTGTGTTCATCTGATATTTTTGCTTGCATTTATGACAAGATCTAATCACATTTTCTGATATGAAGCTTTTAGCAATTATATTTAAATGGAAAGAACACTATAAATTACTTTGAGTTCTAAGACTGAGCAATGTTGGTCATTCCTTTTGGCAGGGAACTCACCTGGCCCCTAGACCCTCCACTATGTAAGTAAATTGTGGAAAGGATTTCATTATAACTTTAGAACCTGTGACAATTTGTGGAGTTACTTATAACTGTTGGCTCAGGAAACGAACAAATCCGATGACAAAGGCGGAATGGAAGAAATCTGCAGCTTATTCATACGTTATGGGTAAGGCAAAGGCCATTCAAGCCAGTCTGGACACAAGATATCCAAGCTTCATTAAAATTCTACTCAGTTCCCATGCTAAATTTGATGTCCTGGTAAGATGCGGTAATTGTTATTTTTTCTTTGTTTTGGAAGTCAGAAGTCAGGATTCAATTTCAAGTATCTCAATTGCAGAGTTTTCCAGTGGATTTTCGTAGATACTATTTACGTAATGATGATGTAATAACACTGGTCGGCGAAGATGGTATGAGGTTTCCAGTCGTTTACCAGGCAAATCTAGGACTTCGTGGTGGATGGAAAGACTTCTTTGCTGCATATAACTTGCAAGTGGGTGATGCACTTGTTTGCCACTTAGTAAAAAAAGATGAACTCCAGGTAAGTATATGTATAAATGTTTAGTTCTTTTATTAAAACATGCAGATTAACATGGGGGATATCACAAATTCACACATAGCTAATTATTTAGTTGCACAATAACAAAAACAACCACAAACAACCCAGTAAAATCCCACAAAAGTAGGGTCAGGGAGGGTAAGCGTACACAGACCTTACCCTACTAGGACTAGTTGCACTAATATGAAAAAAAACTTTTGTAAACAGATGTACTCTCAAGTGGCATTCATTAAACTGTAGGCAAACATAATTAAAGTGGAAGCTGCACTAACTCCTAAGAAAGCTTAGATTCCTGAATCTAAATTACTTGAACTGCTTCTGTAATTTTTCCTCTGTTTTTTCTTATTCTCATTGCCTTTTCTGTAACTGTCTGCCGCTAAATTATTTATCTACTTTTCATTGAAACAATGAGTTGAACTGTGGAACCAAAACTGTAGTGCCTTTGTACTCCTAAACAACTCCTTTCTTTAAAGAACCCAAATTTCAATTAGTGAACTGATGCCAATTACAAGTAAAAAAAGCTCCCTTTTGCCATCAAGATGGAGTTTGTAACGTGATTCCTAGTTTTTGGACTGTAGAAAGTCTCTAAAGCTACCATCAACTTACAATATAAAACCTGCATCCAGGTTTACAGTGTGAGTGTGAACAATTTGGATCATGGTGCACAAGAACAATCAGGTACTTCACTTTTGTATTCTGCCTCTTTTTCCCACTCGCCATTTTTTCCTGGACTTAAGGTTGAAAATAACACAGGAATAGAAGAGAGGGATGGGGAAGTCGCATGCCAAGAGAGTACATCACATGTTCATGAAAACCTTGTCGAGGATCATGAGTTAGGTGATGAAGAGTTCATTTTCGACAATGGTAAGGACAGCTGTTCTTACATTGATAAAGAGGGTGAACTTGCAGAAAACATCGCAGGAGAATGCAGTTCACCGGAACCATTTGTGGACTTGAAGAATTTCAAAATTGTGGTAAACGGTTGCCTTGTTGACCCATTGATCTCTGTCTCAGCCCGTGTAAAGTATTATGAGCTATGCTTGGCTAGGAACTCATATCTACACAGTGAACTGAGAAGCAACCACCAGCTAGCCACTGGAATCATACTGGAAACTGTCCGCATTGTTGATGCCATCAAAGCATGTTGCCTTTCCACCTCCCAGAGCAACATCAAAGAATGGGAAACAAATTTGGAAGGATTTAAGCTCTTGGGAATGGATGTTGGTTTTTTGCTTGACCGAGCCAAGAAGCTCTTACGGCTTGCTGCTGAGTATCAAGAGAGTGGAGAAGCAAAGAGGTATTATGAAGCTACAAAGAAAGAAAAACATTTGGATGAGGAAATAGCATCTGTGGAAACAAAGCTGATGGAGCTAAAGCAGGCTAGGGCCACCCTTCATTCTGAAAGAGAAGTTCTTGAGGCCCATTTCAAGAAGCTGAGGTTGACGTTCCAAGAGACAGCGAAGATGGCTTGGTGATCTTCACCGGATCTTGGTGGCTATGTGTCGTCTGTTTCATGTGCTATTGTGCTAAGGAAGGAACTGGGAAAAAACTTCTAGTGTTGAGGGTTTGGCTTGTGCTCATTGTGGGGTCAGTTTGATGGGAGCAATGAATTGAAGTGTCTGTTGAGGAATGGTAGTAGTGGTAGTAGTAGAACACATATGTTGTTAAGCACATAAGCAAATGAATGAATGATCCACGTAAGTAATAGGGAGAGATCTTTTCATTGGCCTTCTTTGGTAGTAACTGGGAGTAGTAGTAGTAGTAGTTGAGGTTTGTCTCACCTGTTTCAATATACTCCTTTTCTTGTGCCAACTGATTTCTTCTTTGGTAAATGGTAAGTTTAACTTAGTTTGTGCCTGCTCTTTTGGAGTTTGGCTTTAATTAAAAACAACATTTATGATTTGCATTAACTTTTTATATTGTTTTTTTTATGATACAGACTGCATTTAGGAATAATAATAATAATAATAATAATAATAATAATAATAATATTAATATTAATAATAATATTAATAATAATAATAATATTAATAATAATAATAATAAGGGCAAGGATCTTTTGACCTTAGAACCTCGGGTTATAATATGACCCGGGGCTTCTATGGTGCTCCACTCGTAAAATTGATGGTTCCTACCCCCTTAAATCCTACGCCATCAATTTTACGAAGGAGCACCTTAGGGGCTCCGGGTTATAATATGACCCGAGGTTCTAAAGTTCAAAAAACTATGTTGTACTATAATAATGATAATAATAATAATAATAATAATAATATCATTACTATTTTTGTTACCGTAAAATTTCTATAAAATAATACTCTATAAACTACGGAGTAATAAACTTTCTTGAATAATAAGATCCTTGGTCACCACTTGGGCCTTTGCAAAAAATCATCAAATTCGTTAAATGATACGGAGTAAGATACTAACTTCGTCTTAGAGTGTGATAATGTAAATTATTTCAATCAGAATATTGTTCTTAACCGAGTAAGAATGATAAACTAGTATAAATAAATACATTAAATTATGAACACATAGATTTTTACGTGGAAACCCAATTGGGAGAAAATCACGACCTTTTTGGCAGTATCTTGGTAACGTTGGTTTTTTTTAATATCGAGACTTGTAAACAATACATGATTTGGGTTTAAAAGTCATTAATGAAAGTTTGAAGCTTCTTTGAAGAAAAAAGACCAAATAGCTCCGGTACCCCCTGTAGTTTGGAAAATTGGCAGCAATACCCCTCTGTTTTTAAAACTTATTTCTAAAGTCCTCGTGGTTTCAAAACGTTGCACTCACACCCTCTCTGATCATTTTCCGGCCATTTTCTGGCGAACAGGGGGCATTGGCGCATAATTTCTATACCATAGAGGGCATTCATGCTCATTTCTTATTTTCCTTTATTATTCTTCCCCTTTTTTAAATATTTTCTATCTCTTTTTCCTTTTCCTATATTTTTTAAATATATTTTCAATTTTTTATAATGTTTCAAAAATTTTCAAATTCTTTGTGTTTGAAATGAAAATAAAAATAAAAAAATTAAAATACATTACATCTATCTCAAAATAAACATTTTCACTTTTTGTTACTTAGTATAATTTTTTGGAAAGTTCAATAAAAACAAAGAATAAAAAAATAAAAGTGTAGAAAAACGAAATGAAAAAATTAAAATACGCAAAAAAAGTCTTATACAAAAAAAATTGGACACACTTAAAAAAGTTCTTAGAATTAAGATGTCCAAAAAGGTTATTCATTTTTATTTTTGTATTAATTTGTTTCTTATTTTATTCCTCATTTTTTGAAGTTCTCAAAAAAAATTACTTTTTTCAGAAAAAACAAAAATTGTTAATTTAAGAAGTACATATGCATTATATGTTAAATTATTCAAACAAAAATAACTTTAAATTTTAAGAACATTATAAAAATAATTTTTAAAAAAACCTTTATTAATAAATGAAACAAAAATGGAAAAAATGGAAAAAAACAAAAAATATGCGAGAAATAAAAATCGGCACTGATACCCCCTATGGTTTAAAAAATATGCACTAATGCGCCCTTCTTCGCCGGAAAAATGGCCGGAAAATGATCAGATGAGGCACGGGTGCAGCATTTTAAAACCACAGGAACTTTAGAAATGAGTTTTGAAAACAGATGGGGTATTGACGAGGGGTATAGGCGCTATTTGGCCGAAGAAAAAATATGAACAAGTTAAGAGTGAGAGTCTCCCCTCTTCTTGGTTGTGCTACTCTCATTTAAAGGGAAGAGATGCATGCGCACCACAATAATGAAGGAACAAGGCCATTGGACATGTAATTCTCATGTAAAGATGTCTCTCAGACCTATTGAATATTTATATATTACTTCAAATATATTCTTTTATCTCAATAGTTTTGACTCTGTCTTGAATAATTTATCCAGGATAATTGTTCTACATTATTATTTGGAAAATTCAGACCGGGTCAAGCATTATTTCCCATCAGAGTGTTTGTCTAGTTTTATTTTTTTATAGTCAACATTGATAAAACTTTATCATAAGTTAAATAAAATGGTTATTAGATATTTATGCAAAAATACTTTTACTAGATTTGTCTTGTAAAATTTTTTTCAAATATTATTTTTTTCTGATTAATATTGATGGGAAAAAATGCGTGGCTTGACCCACATTTCCCAATTATTGTTGAAGATCAATACAACCGGGCATGTTAAGTAAAAAGAAGGAATAAAAGAATATTTGGCATCTTTGGTAAGTACTAATTACTTTGCTGAAAGTACTGATAGAAATTATGTGGTAAGTTGTTATCACTGGGCAAGGCATCTTTGAAAGTACTAATTACTTTGCTGAAACATGTATCTGACATGTTGTATTGACTTTTGACACTTAATAATTTTGCCACAATCGACAATCTTGTGAATTTTTGGCATCCTTCATATAATGTTGTTGATGAATCAGCAATCATCTTATAATATTGCTCTGCAGAGATGTCTTTATTCTCGTCAACTTCAATGTCATTATTATTCTCGTTACCATCACTATAATCGTCCTCATCATCGTAATGTGTTTGATTATATTAACCATGTTCGACACTATGATCAAAATCGTAAATTGGTCCTATGTTTTCTAAAACCATTTGCTCAAAATTAGACTCAGGTAGATTTGTTGACTTATTTTCTAGTCCCTCCATTTGTATGTTAGACGTCTCTCCACGAAAAAAATTAGTTTTGCTTCCTAACCTTTCACCATGACAATACCAAGTCTCATAATCCTCCATGAAACCATTCTTTCGCAAATGCTTGTCAATTTTTGTTGAAGCCCAAACAAATCTTAACCGACACTTCTTACATGGACACTTTACCATATCTTGGTTATCTGCAAATGCCACTTTAATAAACTCCTCCACACCGTATAAAAATTCTGGATTAATCCACCCATTTTCCATCAAACGTCTTCCCATCCATTCTCGCCTTTTTGACATTTATCAACTAACCTACAATAGTTTAAACTAGTTATAATCACGTACACCATAGATATTCACCTTAAATACATATAATAAATTATCTAAGTCGTGAATCAAACAAGATCTTACCCCTACTCGAAAGTAGAGAGACTTCTTCTAATATCCTATCTAAGTCATATGAATCAATGATATGTAATTTTACATGAGTATAATAGATAATTAAAATAATAATAATAATAATAATAACCACACAATCAACTATATATATGTGTGTGTGTGTGTGTGTATGCAATCTTGGTTTTTATTTTATTTAACAATAAAAAATTGAATTTATTTAAAAAAAATTGTTCATATAATATTCATACTTTATACTCTGTGTATAAAGTTACACATTCACAATGATATTGAAATTAAATATTTTAAAACACTAATACTATCCAAATGATTGTACCATTAAGTCCCAAAACATTATTACATATAATTTTTCACATGATCAATTCATATATTTATATATTATATTTTTCACAAGGTTAATATATATTTCACATGCATGGAGTATATACTCACACACAAACACAATTTTTTAAAAATGTATTGATAAATTCAGTTAAAATAATCTCAATCAATTTGTAAATAGAATAAAACTAAAAATATAAAAAAAATTAAATTTGAGTTGTAATTTCAACACTTTAATTAATAGGTAAGTAGTAGGTACACAATAATTCTAAATTTAATAGTGAATAGAATTTCATATATACCTGAAAAAGAATTGATTGTAATATATCTCGCTAGATTTTCAATTATATAAGAATGATCATATTCATTATAAAATTTTAGCTTGGTATATATAGAAATAAGATAAGGAATATGAGATGTTGGAAGAAAAGTATAAAATTTTTATGGGAGAAGGAAGAAAAGTATATATGTATATACACACACACATACTCCCTATATATTTTGTTCAAGAAAAAAAAAGTATATATTATTAAATGTATGGTGAGAGGGGCAAAGAATAAGGGGCAAAGAATTAGGGGATGAGACTAATATTTGTCCCTATATTTGTCTCATTGTCTAATCATATATTTAGAGACGGAAATCCGTCTCTATGCCCATTCGTTTGGACGGAACTCTCTGTCTCTCTTTTCTGTCTTTTAAGTCTTAAAAGTTACAGTTGTGGGACGGATAAGAGACAAACAATTTTAGAGACAGAAATCTGTCTCTTTTTTCCGTCCCATTTAAGTATACATTCTTGTAGTGATATGCCTATATAAATAAACAATTTAGAGAAATTAAAGGAATTTATATGGGTACTAAAAATATGAAATCATCAAAAGTACACAACTGCACACTTATATATGCCAAACTTAGAGAAATCAAAGGTACAAAAGTCCACACTTTTATTTGTCAACCCAGTAGATCAAATAAGAAAGAAATAGATGGGCAACTGCTAACTTTATACCAATAAAAAGAGTGAGCAAATCCATTTAAGTTAATTCCTAGCCCAAATGTTAAAATTCTTAATTAACTATAGAGAGAGTAATGAAATAAACAAAATCAATGAGGCATGCAGTAAAAACAAAAAAAATTAAACAACAAAATAAATGGAGATGAAAGGAGACCAGTGCTTAGGGCTCATATTATAGAAGTGGGTGCAGTTTCAGTGGATTCCCAAATTTTCTAACACATATAACTGTGAATTTGAAGTCTAAAAATTTTGAATAGTCCGAAAATTTTTGAACACAGAAACCTGTGAATTTAAACTCTTTAAAATTGAATAAGTGTATTAAAAATTGGATCAATTTTGAAATGGGCTGAATTATAAAACCTTTGAACTTCTGGAAGAGAATGAATTTTGATTGGGTTTCCTTTTTTTCAGCCACAAAAAACTTTGAATTTGAAGAATCTGAAATTGGAAGTCAAGAACCGAAGATTGCGCAGCCTATGAAGATTATGAAGGAGGGAGATTCTGCAAAGTACCTGGAAATTGAAGAGGAAAATCGCGGAGAGAAATTCAGCGGAGGAGGGAGATTTTGCGGATGACCAAAGTGAAGGAGAGAAATGAATTAAAACCTGAAGTGGGAAGAAACTGATGTCGTGGGGCGGTGGGCGGCAACAATAACCAATAACATCCATCTACGTAGTTATAAAAAAATAAACAGAGAAAACAGACCGGAAGGTAGAAGGAAAAGAGTCGAGAGAAGGTTGAGAAATTATCTCCAAAAAATCCAACGCTGGACTCGAACCTCGGTCCCATGGGGGTAGCTTCAGACGAACTTCCGCTAAACCAAACAAGGTTCTGTTTACTAAGTGACAAGCGTTTTTAATATATTAATATTAATACATACCTAATACCTATATGAATCTACACCGGGGTCCGTGGGGTCCCACATGGGACTCAAGGTGGGTCCGCGTCTACTAGAAAGGATGGTTCATCGTTTTTGTGTGTTTTGGCCGTGTACTACCTCGTACCAAAAACGGCAATTTGCCGCATTTTGGACAAAGAAATGCCATTTCCAGGCGGAGTAGTTATGTCGTCTACTGATGTTTGTACGATTCCATCTTGTCCTAGCCCGAATACAGCCCAATTTTTGAAATGGCGGAGCTCCTACATTGGCTACTCTAAAGGAGCCGTTGGTCGAGCAAACGTGTTGAAGAAACGACTACGTGAAGAACATTTTCGAAACTACTCGTCCTGTTTCAGCAGCGCCTGAGTCTCTCATGACCAAACCACGCCCCAATGTTTCTCCCTCTACGGTCAGTGTGGTTCGGATGTGTTTTTTGTCTAAAATTTAGGGTTTTTGTTCGTCTCATTTCTCACGCTGTATGTATGTTAGCTTCCAGATATGCATTTACAGAATAATTGCAGACACCTGATACACTTTTGATCCATTATTGTACTTTTAGACCCAAAATTTGTGCTCAATCTGCTGTTTTTAGGAGGGTTTGCAGGTTTTTTTGGGGTTTCCACTGGCAAAGCCCTGAACTAGTTTTGTTTTCTGTATGCATTCTTTGTGTTCATCTGATCTTTTTGCTTGTATGTATGACAAGGTCTAATCACATTTTCTGATATGAAGTTTGTGGCAAATATATGTAAATGAAAAGAACACTGTAATTTACTTTGAGTCCTATGACTAAGCAATGTTGGTCATTTCTTTTGGCAGGGAACTTGCCTGATCCCTAGACCCTCCACTATGTAAGTAAATTGTGGAAATGATTTCGTTATAACTTTAGAACCTGTGACAATTTGTGGACTTACTTATAAGTGTTGGCGCAGGAAACGAACAAATCTGATGACAAAGGCGGAATGGAAGAACTCTGCAGCTCATTCATACGTTAGGGATAAGGCAAAGGCCATTCAAGCCAGTCTGGATGCAAGATATCCAAGCTTCATTAAGTTTCTCCTCAGTTCCCATGCTAAATTTGATATCCTGGTAAGATGCGGTATTTTTTTTTTTTGCGTTGTTCTGGAAGTCAGAAATCGGAATTCATTTCCAAGCATCTCAATTGCAGAATCTTCCAGCAGATTTTCGTAGATGCTATTTACGTAATGATGATATAATAACACTGGTGGGAGAAGATGGAATGAGGTTTCCGGTCGTTTACCTAGCATATTTAGGACTTCGTGGTGGATGGAAAGACTTCTTTGCTGCATATAACTTGCAAGTGGGTGATGCACTTGTTTGCCACTTAGTGAGCAAACATGAACTCAAGGTAAATGTATGTATAAATGTTTAGTTCTCTATTTATTAAAAAAAATGCATTTTAACGTGGGGGATATCACAAGTTCACAGATATCTAATTTTTTTTGTTCTACAACAACAACAAACAACCCAGTAAAATTATACCAAAGTAAAGTAGGGTATAGGGAGGGTGAGCGTACGCAGACCTTACCCCTATTAGGAATAGTTGCACTAATAGGAAAAAAGACTTTTGTAAACAGATGTACTCTCAAGTTAACTTCAGAGCCATTATCAGAATAATGAAAGTGGCCTTCGTTAAACTATGGGCAAACATAATGAAAGTGGAAGCTGCACTAACTCCAAAGAAAGTTTAGCTTCCTTAATCTAAATACATTGAAACTGTTTATGTACTTTTTCCTCTGCTTTTGTTTTTAAATTCTCTTTGCCTTTTCTGTAAATGTCTGCCACTAGTTTATTTATCTACTTTTTTATTTAAACAATAAGTTGAACTGTGGAACCAAAAACTGTAGTGCACTTGTACTCCTAAACAGCTCCTTTCTTTAACCCAATTTTCAATTAGTGAACTGATGCTAATTACAAGTAAAAAAAGCTCCCTTATGCCATCATGATGGAGTTTGTAGTGTGATTCTTAGTTTTTTTGTAATATAGAAAGTCTCTAAAGCTACGATCAACTTACAATATAAAACCTGTATCCAGGTTTACTGTGTGAGAGTGAGCGATTTGGATCATCGTGCACAAGAAGAAAAATCAGGTACTTCACTTTTGTATTCTGCCTCTTTTTCCCTTTCATCATCTTTTCCGGGGCTTAGGTTGAAAATAACACAGGAATAGAAGAGAGGGATGAGGAAGTTGTATGCCAAGACATGACATCACATGTTGATCAAAACCTAGTAGAGGATCATGAGTTAGGCGATCAAGGGTTCATTTTCGAAAGTGGTAAGGACGATTTTTCTTACATTGATAAAGAGGGTGAACTTGCAGAAAACGTCGCCGGAAAATACAGTTCACCGGAACCATTTGTGGACTTGAAGAATTTCAAAATTGTGGTAAACGGTTCCCTTGTTGACCCATTGGTCTCTGTTTCTGCCCGTGTAAAGTATTATGAGCTGTGCTTGGCTAGGAACTCATATCTACACAGTGAGCTGAGAAGCAACCACCAGCTGGCCACCGGAATCATACTTGAAACCGTCCGCATCATTGATGCCATCAAAGCATGTTGCCTTTCCACCTCCCAGAGCAACATCAAAGAATGGGAAACAAATTTGG